GAACAGCAGAATTCTACAACTGGATTCTCATCCGAATCTTAAGGGGAATGCTTCCAGATATGCTCCTACACATCGCTGTTAGGTTGCTTTGCCGGGATAATTTTATCAATATACCTCTCTATTTAACTTTCTCTATATCTGCATATACATATATGCATATGCCTCTCTCTATATTTCTGTGTATATATATATATATATATATATATATATATATATATATATACTAGAACCACGCGCGCGCTTCGCGCGCGCTTAGGTTCTGTCGAGTCACAGACCCAGGAATCGTTGTGAGAAGAAATTGGTGACGCGAAGCGTCGTGGGGGCGTCCTTGGACGTCTGGGGTCTCCTGGGGCCTCTTGAGGGGCCTCCTGGGGGCCTCCTGGCGGCCTCTTGGGGCGGAAGGCTCGAGCTTGCGGTTCGTGGTCCCCCTCTGGGCCCCCTCTTGGGCCCGTCTTGGGGCCCTCTTGGGCCATCTTGGGCGCCTCTTGGGCCGTCTTGGGGCCCTCTTGGGCTGTCCTGGGGCCCTCTTGGAAGCTTCTTGGGCCGTCTTGGGGCGGTCTTGGGCGCCTCTTGGGCCGTCCTGTAACGTCGGAAAGCCCAAAAGACAACTTTGTTGAACATGTACGTTTTACGAAGGGAATGGGCCAATTTTTGCGTCTAGGGGCCCTCTTGGGACGCATGTTGGAGGCTTCTTGGGGCCTCTTGGGGGCGTCCTTGGACGTCTGGGGTCTCCTGGGGCCTCTTGAGGGGCCTCCTGGGGGCCTCCTGGCGGCCTCTTGGGGCGGAAGGCTCGAGCTTGCGGTTCGTGGTCCCCCTCTGGGCCCCCTCTTGGGCCCGTCTTGGGGCCCTCTTGGGCCATCTTGGGCGCCTCTTGGGCCGTCTTGGGGCCCTCTTGGGCTGTCCTGGGGCCCTCTTGGAAGCTTCTTGGGCCGTCTTGGGGCGGTCTTGGGCGCCTCTTGGGCCGTCCTGTAACGTCGGAAAACCCAAAAGACAACTTTGTTGAAAATGTACGTTTTACGAAGGGAATGGGCCAATTTTTGCATCTAGGGGCCCTCTTGGGACGCATGTTGGAGGCTTCTTGGGGCCTCTTGGGGGCGTCCTTGGACGTCTGGGGTCTCCTGGGGCCTCTTGAGGGGCCTCCTGGGGGCCTCCTGGCGGCCTCTTGGGGCGGAAGGCTCGAGCTTGCGGTTCGTGGTCCCCCTCTGGGCCCCCTCTTGGGCCCGTCTTGGGGCCCTCTTGGGCCATCTTGGGCGCCTCTTGGGCCGTCTTGGGGCCCTCTTGGGCTGTCCTGGGGCCCTCTGGGAAGCTTCTTGGGCCGTCTTGGGGCGGTCTTGGGCGCCTCTTGGGCCGTCCTGTAACGTCGGAAAGCCCAAAAGGCGACTTTGTTGAAAATGTACGTTTTACGAAGGGAATGGGCCAATTTTGCGTCTAGGGGCCCTCTTGGGACGCATGTTGGAGGCTTCTTGGGGCCTCTTGGGGGCGTCCTTGGACGTCTGGGGTCTCCTGGGGCCTCTTGAGGGGCCTCCTGGGGGCCTCCTGGCGGCCTCTTGGGGCGGAAGGCTCGAGCTTGCGGTTCGTGGTCCCCCTCTGGGCCCCCTCTTGGGCCCGTCTTGGGGCCCTCTTGGGCCATCTTGGGCGCCTCTTGGGCCGTCTTGGGGCCCTCTTGGGCTGTCCTGGGGCCCTCTTGGAAGCTTCTTGGGCCGTCTTGGGGCGGTCTTGGGCGCCTCTTGGGCCGTCCTGTAACGTCGGAAAGCCCAAAAGACAACTTTGTTGAAAATGTACGTTTTACGAAGGGAATGGGCCAATTTTTGCGTCTAGGGGCCCTCTTGGGACGCATGTTGGAGGCTTCTTGGGGCCTCTTGGGGGCGTCCTTGGACGTCTGGAGGCCATCTTCAGCATCTCGGAGCCCTCTTGGAGGCCTCTTGGAAGTTTCTTGGGCCGTCTTGGGCGCTTCTTGGGCCGTCTTGTCTGACTGGGGAGGCCTCCGGCAAGCCCCGACGAGCCTCCGGGCCCCCCGGGGCGCACATTTGTGGTAGAGGTCCCGGCCCCGGGCCCCCGGACCCGGTGCGCCGTTATGTATATATATATATATATATATATATATATATATATATCAGAATGAGGGGACTGAACCGACCGGTCATTCGCTGTCCCTGGGCGCGTGGCTGAAATGGACTTCCGCGATGCGGATTATTGTTGTTGTTGTGGTTGTTGTTGTTGTTTTGTTGTTGTTGTTGGTGTTGGTTGTCTTCGTCCCACCCGCGACCCACCCGCGACCCACCCCGCGAACCACCCACGACCCACCCGCGACCCACCCTGCGACCCACCCGCGACCCACCCCGCGACCCACCCGCGACCCACCCGCGACCCACCCGCGACCCACCCCGCGACCCGCCCGCGATCCACCCCGAGACCCCTCGGCGACCCACCCGCGACCCACCGGCGACCCCCTCGCGACCCACCCGCGACCCACCCCGCGACCCACCCGCGACACACCCGCGACCACCGGCGACCCACCGCGACCCACCCGCGACCCACTCGCGACCCACTCCGCGACCCACCCAAAATTTTTCGGCGCCTGCTGCGGGCTTCTTTTGCATTCGTTCCAGGTGGAGAACCTGCGACCCCTCCGCGACCCATACCGCGTTCAGTGTACACGTCAAAATTTTCGGCGTCTGCGGCGGGCTGTTTTTGAATTCCTTCCAGGCGGAGGTGGAGAGCCCGCCACCCACCCGCGACCCAAACTACGCTATTTTAACAAGCAAAAAGTTCGGCGCCTGCGGCGGGTTTCTTTTGCATTCGTTCCAAGTGGAGAACCTGCGACCCAAACCGCGTTTAGTGTACAAATCAATGGCGCCTGCGGCGGGCTGTTTTTGAATTCCTTCCAGGTGGAGGTGGAGAGCCCGCGACCCAAACTACGTTCACTGAACAAGCCAAGAACGGAGGCGGCGGACGACGACGACGATGAGGACGAGGACGCGGACGAGGAAGAGGAGGAGGAGGAGCAGCAGGAGGAGGAGGAGGAGGAGGAGGAGGGCGCTATCGACAAGGAAGGTGAGGACCACGAGGTCCGCCGGCTCGACGCCCGTGTCGCCCGCGCCCGCCCCCTCACTCTTATCCGCATTTGCGGGGTGCCACGTATCTCTTTCTCTATATTTATCTCTCTATATATCAACCATTGGGGCAACCATCGGGACAACATCTAACAACATCTATCGATCGATCTATTTATCAGCCATCGGGACAACCATCGGGACAACCACAGCCATCAAGACAATCGCCGGGACAACCGGGGGCGACGCCCGGCGCTCGCGGGCAGCCCTTTTGGCAATATATGGCCTCCACTATGGATGGAACTCGCGCAACTTCGCCTCGCCCGCACGCACGACACGAATCGAAGCCGAAACCGATTTACCGGTTGGGGTCACTTCCGTTCCAACCCCCCAACCTCCGACTGGCTACCAGTGGCACACATTGCCCGCATACGCCAGCAGCACGCACCACTACCAAACACCAGTTACATGCATCAAGGGCGCCCACACGAATCCACACTGCCCAAGCACGGGCATCAACAACACACCCACAACATATCAACACACACCGATAACAGTATCAATCGCGTACACTATAAGCACATGCGCGCAATACATAAAAGCAGGCACACACAACACACACCACCAACCAGTGTTAACGACACGCGCCACGCACGATCACTGACAACACATCTCTATAGCACGCGCGAGCAATTCTACCACACCTACCAATAACATACACCAGTCGTAATCATCGGCTACATACAACAATTATATAAACAACACGCGCGCGCATCAAACACAGGCCCCAATTGCACCCCCAGCGCATCAGCGAAACACGTCAACACCAGGCCCCAACAAACGACATCGTTAACACACACCAGGCACGCACGGCAATGACACACATAATTGACATACACTAGGGACATACGTCCTTATGGTTTGGAACTCATTGGTTGGGACCTCCGACGCACATCGACGAACAATGAATCATTGTTCTGAGGCCTCGCCCCTTCCACAAGCGGAATACGCTGTTTTTGTTGGGCGTTGCAGCGTGCAGTGTTGCTTGCCTATGTGTACTCTTCCCCACCCTACCCCTTCAACAAGAGAGGTTTGCATTTTCTGTTTGCCCCCCTTCCTCGCGCTCCGTGCGGCGAGCGCGCGCTGAAGCGCGCAACTGTGTTGCGTAGTTGTTTCTCTCCTACCTTCGCCAGCTCAACGAGAGACATCTACAAATCTTTGCTATTTCCCCTGGCAGCCGTCCAACCGACCCACGGGTCAAACAGCCGACCGACTAACCAACTAACTGGCCAACCAACTAAAATGTCCCAAACTCCCAATACTTCGCCTTTTACGTTTGCAGCGTGCATGCTTTCTGTAGGGCAACCTACGAGCCGTCCGAGCAGCCAGCCAACCCAATAACCAACCAGCCAGCCAGTCAACTTGCTAGGCAACCAAGCAGTCCGACGCATGTGGAAACCGCCTCTGCAGGCACGGGATATTTCTCGACAGGAAGCATATTTGTGAAGACCGACCTTCTTTTTTACCAACAGGGGTACATGCGTTTCCTCAGCCTCGTCTTTGTCGTCGTCGCCCTCCTCCGCCTCTTCCTCCTTCATTCCTCATCTACCTCCACTTCGCCCACGTCCCTCAGCTCTGCTCCCTCCCCCTTCTCCTGCCCCTCCTCTTGGTTGTCCCCCTCTTCATTTCTTCTTCTCCTCCTCCTCCTCCTCCTCCTCATCCTCCTCGCTCTCCTCTTCCTCCCTCTCCTCTTCCTCCCTCTCCTCTTCCTCCCTCTCCCCCTCCTCCTGCTCCTGCTCCTCCTCCTCCTCCTCCTGCTCTTCCTCCTCCTCCTCCTCCTCCCCTTCCTCCTCCTCCTCCTCTTCTTCTTCCTCCTCCTCCCCCTCCTCCTCCTCGTCCTCGATCAGCGCGGGACGCCGAAGAGGGAAGAGAGCCGAAAGCGCAGACCCGCTTCGTAGCTATACTCGAGGGGCGGCTCTACCACCACGCCGCCGCCGTACTCGAAGCCCGCGACCGTCACGACCTCCTCTTTTCCGCCCGCGCCTCAGGAGGACGCCGTGCCCCTGGTGCCAGTTCTCATCGTCAACGGTGTCCCCTTCTCCTCCTCTTCATCCTCCTCCTCCACTTGCTCGTCCTCTTCCTCCATTACCTCCGCCTCCCTCCTCTTTCTTTGCCTCCTCCTCCTCGCCTTCCTCGTTCTCGTCGTCATCCTCCTCCTCCTGCTCCTGTCCTCCCCATCATCCCTCCTCCTCCCTCATCCAGTCATCCGCATCATCCCTCCTCCTCCTCCTGCTCCTGTCCCTCCCCTTCCCCTCTCCCCCTCCTCTTTCTCTTAACCCGCGACCGGCCGACGTCCTAATCCCGATCCTGATCCACTTGTCCCGATCCACCCAGATACTCCGCTGATCGAAAGGCCAATGCACCGCCCCGATCCCGATCAGTTAGCAAATCAGTAGTTCATGATCCACGATCGAACCCCGATCGACGGATCGGGGTCTTCTAAGGCTCTGGCCAATTAGTTTGATCCTGTCGTTAATCTTGTAACTGGCACTCGACTCCCCTTGTACCTCGATCTTCGTCGATCCCGCACTAACTGCTTCTATTAGTTCGTCGGGTTCTCTCATTCCCGGTACAGCCATGGCGGCTTGAAACGACGCCGGGTCGAGTAACATATCCTGGCGAACTCTTCTTCACTGATCGGCAACTGCCCTCACCCCCCTTGTCGAACATGCAAACAGAAAACAACCAGCGCTAGGCATACGGTGATGGGGTGAAGCACCAGCAAACACAGGGGGTGAAGGAATGAGGAAAGAAGTGGGCTGAACAATACATAAAAACACACGCACTTACACACACACACACACACATATATATATATATATATATTTATAGATGCACGCACACACATATTCCTCTTCCAATATTTTTGCAAACCTGGGCGGGGGGACCCCCAAAACCGGACTCCCGGGATCTGGGGCTTTGGGACCCTCCGGACGGGCCTCGAAGCGGCCCCCCGGGCCTCGCAGGGCGTTTTGGCAAGCCTTCCCAGCACACCTAGGGCGATCAGGGGGGTCATCGGAGACGTCCCAGAGACCCCCAAGACAGCACAAGAGCGCTCCAAGAGTGACCGACGTGACCTCAAGATGGCCCAAGAGGCCTCCAGGACGGCCCAAAAGAGGCCTCCAAGAGCACTCCCAAGAAGGCCCCGCGAGGCACAAATCATTGATTTTCTATTGGTTTTTGGTGAATTTGGGGGTTCTCCTTTTTTCGGCTTCCCGACGCTCCAAGACGGCGGTCTTCTGGGCGTCCGAAGCCGCCTGGGAGGCTCCCAAAGCGCCCCACAACCATCCGAAAGGGCTTCCAAGCAGTCCAAGAGAGCCCCAAAACTGCACAACACGGATCCAATATGGCCCTCAGAAAGCCCCATGGCGGCCCAAGATGGCCCCAAGACACCCTCCGAAGCACTCCAAATCGTGACCCGGTCGTTCAGGGAGACCGCGGTTGGAGGCAGGGTGGCCCGAGGAAGCCCCCAGAGGCCCCCAGAATACGCCCTGGAGGCCTCCAGAAGGCCTTAGGAAAACCTGGAACAACTTTTGTGAGGCCCCCCAGAGGCTCTCCAAGGAGGAGCCTCCGCAAAAAAAAGCTGAGGAGGATGGGGATAATGCGCAGGGTATGGCGAAAATGAGGAAAAAAAACATGGAGGAAGGATAACGAATAACATTATTATAGCGGCGATGCCAGAAAAGGCAACAAGGAGTTATCGCTAAACATTGTCGGCTTGACCTTACTGCTATTCCGCCTGCATACCACGCAGGTCATGGCGATAATGAGGAACAAGAAGCATGGAGGAAAGACAACGAATAACATTATTATAGCGGCGATGCCGGAAAAAAACAACAAGGATTTATCGCTAAATTGTCGGCTTGACCTTCCTGCTAGTCCGCCTGCATACCAAACTTCAAGGACCAAGGTGCATGGCGCGAAGCGCCACTGCAGTCTTGTACATATATACATATATATGTATATGATTGGGGAGGAATCCAGTACAGTATGTTGAATTTATTTAATTTATTTATTTTATTTAATTTAACCATACGGATTAATTAAATAAATTAACTTATTTAACTTATTTAATTTATTTAGTTTATTTACTTTATTTAATTTATTTAATTTATTTAATTTATTGTTCTGGCCTCCCTGGCGGGGATTCTGGTCAGCCTCAGGCGCAGCAGAATTGATTTAATGTATTTAATTAGCCCTGGCGGATTAATTAAATGAATTAAATAAATTAAATAAATAGGGCCACGCCCTGAGGTTCACCAGGATCTTCGCCAGCGGAGCTGGAAAAAAATTAAATAAATTAAATAAATGAAATAAATTAAATAATTAAATAAATTGACTTGATTTAATTTATTTCATTAATCCGTATGATTAAATTAAATTAAATAAATAAATTAAATAAATTGAATTTATTCAATTTATTTAATTAACCCGTATGATTAAATCAAATAATTAAATAAATTAAATGAATTCAATTCTTTGATTTTTTTAATTTATTTAATTAATTTAATTTATTTTTCCGGCCTCTCTGGCGGGGATTCTAGTCAGCCGCAGGCGCAGCAGAATTGATTTAATTTATTTAATTAGCCCTGGCGGATTAATTAAATAAAATAAATAAATTAAATAAATAGGGCCACGCCCTGAGGTTCACCAGGATCTTCGCCAGCGGAGATGGAAAAATAAATTAAATTAACTAAATAAATTAAATAAATTAAATAAATTGAATTTATGTAATTTATTAATTAATCCGCATGATTAAATTAAATAAATTAAATAAATTCAATTTATTTAATTTATTTAATTTATTTGTCCGGCCTCCCTGGCGGGAATTCGGGTCAGCCTCAGGCGCAGCAGAATTGATTTAATTTATTTAATTCGCCCTGGCGGATTAATTAAATAAAATAAATAAATTAAATAAATAAGGCCACGCCCTGAGGTTCACCAGGATCTTCGCCAGCGGAGCTGGAGAAATAAATTAAACAAATTAAATAAATGAAATAAGTTAAATAAAGTAAATAAATTGAATTTATTTAATTTATTTCATTAATCCGTATGATTAATTCAAATGAATTAAATAAATTCAATTTATTAATTTATTTGATTTATTTCATTCATTTAATTTATTTAATTTATTTTTCCAGCCTCCCTGGCGGGGGTTCTGGTCAGCCTCAGGCGCAGCAGAATTGATTTAATTGATTTAATAAGCCCTGGCGGATTAATTAAATGAATTAAATAAATTAAATAAATAGGGCCACGCCCTGAGGTTCACCGGGATCTTCGCCAGATTAATCTTTCACCGGTATCTCCTAATTTTAATTAAATCAATTAAATTAATTCAATTAATTTAATTTACTTAATTCATTCAATTAATTTAATTAATTTTCTGGGCTCCTCCTGGAGGATCTCAGGCGAGCGCTCAGAGCAGCGGAATTAATTTAAATAATTTAATTAATCTCTACATATTAATTAAAGTAATTAAATTAATTCAATTAATTCAAATAGTTTAATTAATTTAATTAATTTCCCTGGGCTCCCCTGGGAAGGCCTCAGGCGAGCGCTGAAAGCAGCGTAATTAATTTAATTAATTTATTTAATCGACGTAAACTAATTAAATTAATTAAATTAATGAAATTAATTCGGCTGCTCTGAGCGCTCGCCGGTGCCTTCAGATATGTAGATTAATCGGTTGCGCCTGCGGCTCATCAAGATCTCTGCCAGAGAGGCCAGAGATCCCAACATATTATCGGAAATCGCGGCTGCATATCAAAAGTATTCCAAATCATACATTTACCAGAAAACACGTTTGCCAGATAACAGGTATACAACCTCATAGATTTGCGAGATAACAGATTTGCCAGAGAATCGATAACATATTTGCACGTTTGCACGATAACAGACTTGTCCGGTAGCGTCCCTGGCCAGATAACATATATGGCCGATCTCCAGGTTTACCGTATACCTGTTTTGCCAAACACAAGGACCGCAGAATACATACTGGTCAGACAACATGTATGCCAAATAACAGATTTTTCGGATAATATATTTGCCATATAATGGCAACCATATTCGCACGTTTGCAAGAATACAGATCTGCACCATAGTGGTCTGGCGATTTTCGCTTAAGACATCCTCGCAATTCTGAATTCAGCGACGTCCTGAGATCAAGTATTCAGGCTGTTTTTTTCGTTTGAGACATCCTCGCAACTCTGGGTTCCCAGATGCCCTGACCTACGGCACTCAGGCCAGAGGAGGAGGATTGGGAGAAGGAAAAGGAAGCGGATCGGAGGAGAATGAGGAAGAGGGGAAGAGGGGATTCTCAACGGCTTGCGAGGACTCGCTCACCCCCAAGGGCGCGAAGATAATCGCGCTTCGCACGGCGCAGCCTGGACCAGAGAGCTACCCTCCTCCGAGGTAGCATCGCGATGGCCTCGCGAGGGCGCGAAGATAACAATGCGTCGCGCTGCCTCTCATCCGTCCCACTCTCGTCGTCGTCGTCGTCGTCGTCGTCGTCGTCGTCGTCGTCGTCGTCGTCGTCGTCGCCGCCGTCGCGGCGCCCGCGCGCGCGCGCGCGCCCGCCCGCGCGCGGTTGGGAGTAGAGGCGCGAATGGGGAGGATGAGGCAACGGAGGAGTAAGAGCAGCGATGATGATGATGGTGATGGTGATGATGATTATGATAAAGATGGCGACGGTGATGGTGATGATGATGATTATGATAATGATGGCGACGGTGATGGTGATGGTGATGATGATGACGACGACGACGCTGCTAATAAGAATGATGATGATGATGATGCCAACCACTACCACAACGATAATGACGGTGAGTATGATTTCGGGACCTGCGGGGTACTTATATAGCGATTCCGGCCCCCTGGGCAAGTTATAAGACGATGTTAGTATCATGGAGAAGTGCAATCTCCGTGGCGCAGAAAACATTCGGCAACCGATGATGCACAATATGTGAGGTGTGACATCATGTATTATGGCGCACACTGCCCGTACTATTGCACCACATGTAAGGTGAAACTACGTGGGCCGCGCCACGTCGTGCAATTCAACGTGCGCAGAGCGTGCCCCGTTCATGTGATAGTTCCGTCCTTTGTATTGTCCGCTCCAGCTTTGTATTGGCATTGCGCTTTGCTCAGCCCCCTTCTCCAGGGGCTAATCCTCACTGGCTGGGGTGCGAGATCGTTACGTCCAAAAGTCAGTCCTCCTCATGGGGGTCTTTGGATTAGGACTAAAAGTAGTATGAGGCCTCATGCTCCATTACTGCATGGTTGAAGCCGTTGCGCCGAGGAGTCGCCCCCTCTTCCTCATCCTTCTCTTAAAGGGGCCCCTTCTCCTCGCCGTGCGCAGAAACGCAGACTGAAAAGCACCGCGCTGCGCGCGGTATTTCTTTCTCTCGGGGACGTGTCGGGGGTTTGGGATGCACTTCATGAAGAACGCAAGCGCGCGCTGAAAAGTATCACGCTCTGTGTGGTACTTTTTCTTTGTGGGTTGCCTCGGGAATCTGATGCATGCTCCATTCAGGACGCCGACGCGTGCGCTTGGGGTTGCATCGAAGGCTTGGGATATACTTCATTGCGGATGCAAGCGCGCATGTTGAAAAAGTACCACGCTGCGCGTGGTAGTTTTTCTCTTGAGGTTGCGTCGGGGGGGTTGGGATATACTTCGTTCAGAACGCAGACGCGCGCTGAAAAGTACCACGTTGTGCATGGTACTTTTTTTCTGTGGGTTGCCTCGGAATCTGGGTGCATACTTCAGGACGCAGACGCGTGCGCTTGAGTTTGTGCCGGGGGTTGGGAATATATCTCATTGGGAACGCAGACACGCGCGCTGAAAAGTACCACGCTGTGCGCGGTACTTTTTCTCTGTGAGTTGCCTCGGAAATCTGGGGCGTACTTCATTCAGGACGCAGACGCGCGCGTTTGATTTTGTGTCGGGGGTTTGGGATATACCTCATTGGGAACGCAGACGCGCGCGCTGAAAAGTACCACGCTGCACGTGGTGCTTTTTCTCCTGGGGTTATATCGAGGGATTGTATACAAGAAGAAATCTTTGTTCCGATCTCCTCCCCTAATCCCACGAGCCTCATCCTCCTCGTCCGCGCTCCTCCGTAATCCTCGCCCCGTTTCCTCGTGGTCCTCGCCCCCCTTCCTCTTTCGATCCATCATCTTCCCTTCCCTCCTCCTCCTCCTCCTCCTCCTCGTGTCGCTCCTCATCCAACGCCGAGTCGCCGGTCCAAGGGTTGTCTGTCAGGGGGTGACCCCGGGGATACGTGTATGGCAGTTGCGTTCACGTAACCATTGAGGCTCAGGTTGGTTCACTCGTCGGCCACCCGCTCGTGTCCCCCCCGCCTCCTCCGAGGTCGTGTTCTTCCCTCAGTGGCGCCCGAGCGGGTGAAAAAAACGGTGATCAAGCACAAAACGAATTTCTGCATTGCGTGCAACGTTTCTCACGCTTCGCCAACGTGGTATGGGAAAAGCGGCAGCAAAGTATGTAAAGCGGAATATGAAAAACAACGTAGGCTTGCACAGAGCTACGAGTTGAAAAAACCGGCGGTGAATGTGAGTGGTTCAAGCAGTTGGCGGGCAAAACTTCTGCCCCAGATTGAAGATAAAGACAAGGCGACATACCCCATAGCGAGCTTAGATTCCAGGCCAGATTGGAAAGCCCTCCAACTGGCTTTGCACGCCCTTCCCAGTACTCCGTCGTACTTACCATGGTACTACGGGGCGTGGTGCGTATTCTTGTACTGGTCCTGGCCATGCATATCCTTCATATCGACCGCGATGACACAGAGAGATATCAAGAGTTGCTTCGATTCTACAGTATCTATGTTTCAGCAATATCGCATCGTGAATGGCGAGTTGACGCCGCATCGCGCCGGCTCCACGGCTAAAGGCCTGCGGGCCGTGGGGCGCGACATGGACCGAGGCTATTCAATTCCACGTGGTCGAGAGTTATGCCTTGAAGCCGACGCGTGGAAAGCCATTCGCAAAAAACTCTGTGGGTTGCCGTCGCCTTTTTCTGTGAAAGCGGGGATGGATATCATGCGCGAGGGGGGCCTGCATTCCATGCGCGGCGACAACGACGCATACGGATGCCTAGGCGTCCTGCGATTATTGGCGTCGGTCTTGCACGAGAATAACTTTGCTGATTCGGAACCGGATTGGGATGAGTTGCGTGCAATGAGCAAAGGCGTGCAGGAGAAATCGAAATCGCTCCAACTGTGGGAGCACAAAGATGCCGTGTCTGCGCGCAACTCATTGCGCATTGTGCTCCGTAACCGCAGGTACTCATTATCGGACTTGGTGTGCTTCGTGTGCCTCAGCAAGTGATGTGCCTCCTAGGGAACGCCGCATACGCGCGCACAAAAAAAGTACCACGCAGCTCGTTGTAGCTTTTCTGTTGTGGGATGCCTCGGGGTTCTGGGATATACTTCATTCAGAACGCAGACGCGCGCTGAAAAGTACCACGCTGCGCGTGGTACTTTTTCTCTGCGGGTTGCCTCAGGGGTCTGGGATATACTTCAGTCATGACGCAGACGCGCGCGCTTGAGTTTGTGTCGGGGGTTTGGGATATACTCCATTGGGGACGCAGACGCGCGCTGAAAAGTACCACGCTGCACGTGGTACTTTTTCTCTGCGGTTTGCCTCAGGGGTCTGGGATATACTTCAGTCAGGACGCAGACGCGCGCGCTTGAGTTTGTGTCGGGGGTTTGGGATATACTCCATTGGGGACGCAGACGCGCGCTGAAAAGTACCACGCTGCGCGTGGTACTTTTTCTCTGCGGGTTGCCTCAGGGGTCTGGGATATACTTCAGTCAGGACGCAGACGCGCACGCTTGAATTTGTGTCGGGGGTTTGGGAGATACTCCATTGGGGACGCAGATGCGCGCTGAAAAGTACCGCGCCGATCGTGGTAGTTTTTCTCTTGGGGTTGTCTCGGGCTTCTGGGATACACTTCATTCAGAACGCAGACGCGCGCACTGAAAAGTGCCACGCTGAGCGTGGTACTTTTTCTCTGGAGGTTGCGTCGGCGTTTGAGATATATTTCATGTGGAACGCAGGCGCGCGCACTGAAAAGTATAACGCTGCGCGTGGTATTTTTTCTGCTGGAGTTGCATCGTGAAATCGGGACACATGCATTGGCCAACGCGCAAGCGCGTGAGGACGAACAGTCTCAATATGACTGTTGTTGTTTCCTGCTGCCCAGCATTTGCGCGCGTTCATGTGGAGTGCTGATCCACAGTGACCACTGGATGACTGGGCGACTTGGCGCCAGCGGGCCGCACCCTTTCGGCCAGCAAACACAGGCGCCATCGTCGTCGTCGTCGTCGTCGCCCTCGCTTCCCGAGGAGGAGAAATAGGAAAAGGGGGAGGAGCAGGAGGAAGAGGAGGAGGAGGAGGAGGAGGAGGAGAGGAAGAGGATAGCTCCCCGAGGCCAAACACCGCGCGCGGCGTACCCCGCCTTCCTCTCGGTCCTCCGGCCGCCTCCCTCCCCTCGGCCCCCGCTGTCTCCGCAGCCGGTCTCCGAGGGTCCCCTCCCCCCCCCCCCGGGCTTGGCCGTCTCCTCGGCTCCCCCCGGGGGTCGTCTCGGCCCGTGGCCCGGCCCTTGTGTCACCTTACTTTCCTTGCTTGGCTCCTTTGCTTTCCTCGGCTTGTTCCGCCATCCCCCCACCTCCTCCTTCTGTGCCTTGCCCTTATTGGTGGTGTGTATCTCTCGGCTTCCTTGTCTTTCCTGCACCCCCCCTCCTCGTCTCTCTCGGCCTGGTCGCCGTTATCCTCGTTCTCCCCCTCCTCCCTCCCTCCCTCCCTCTCCTTGCTCCTTGGCTTGTCCTCGCTGGCTGCCCTCGTCGTCCTGCTTGTCGGCCCGTCTTCGTTGGCCCCGCGTGATTAACTTTATTGGGCGCGTCATTTGTAGACTCCGCAGCGTGACGACGACGACGACGACGGCGACCGCGCTTGACAAGCGCCGGCGGCTCGGCCGGCTGAGACGGGCGCCGTCGTCGTCGTCGCCTTCGTCTCGCGCGGATGAGTCGGGGAGGAGGGGGGAGGAGGAAGAGGGGGAGGAGGTGGAGGAGGAGGAGGGGGAGGCGGCGGAAGAAGGAGCTGAAGAGGAGGAGGAGGGAAGGTGTCTCCGATATATCCAGGTATACCCAGGTGCAGACAGCCAACCGCCACTGTGCCAGTCCGGCGTGCTCGGCGGCTCTCGTTCGAGAGGACACCGGAGGGCGTACTCGCAAGGGATAAACACCGTAAGATCGATGAGGATTCCGATGATGATGAGGAGGAGAAGGATGATGATGATGGTGATGAAGATGACGATGACGACGACGATGACGACGATAATGCTGATTATGGTGATGGTGATGTTAACGACGACGACGACGACGACGATGATGATGATGATGTTGATGATGATGCTGTTGCTGATGATGATTATGGTGGTGATAATGATGATGATCATGATGATGATGATGATGATGATGATGATGATGATGATGATGATGATGATGATGATGATGATGATGATGATGATGATGATGATGATGATGATGTTGACGATGATGCTGGTCATGACGATGATGATGATGGTGATGATGAGGATGATGATGATGACGACCGTAGTGGGACTCTTTCCTGGGGCATATTCGGCCATCCCGAGGCGGTCGTGGGGGCTCTGGCCAGAGGAATGATAGACAGAGGTCGAGGGGACCCACAGAGACCGAGGCGGAGGGTGAGGGGGGACCGAGGGGGACCGAGGTGGACCGAGGGTGGTCGAGGGCCGACGGAGGTCTATGGGGCCCGAAAAAACCCAAGAGAAAAAAGTACCACGCGCAGCGTGGTATTTTTCAATGTGCGTATGAGGTTCCCGATGATGATGATGATGATGATGATGATGATGATGATGATGATGATGATGATGATGATGATGATGATGATGATGATGATGATGATGATGATGATGGTGGTGATGGTGGTGATGACGCTGACGACGATGATGGCGACGATGATGATGGCGATGATGATGACGATGACGATGACGATGACGATGATGATGATGGTGATGATGCCGACGGCTACCACAACGATAGCACAACGAGTATGATGACGGCGATGGCGGGGACGATGGTGATGATGACGACGAATGAGGATGATGAAGGGGAAGAGGAGGAGGAGAATGGAGAGGGGAGGGGAGGAGGAGGAGGAGGAGGAGGAGGATGAGAGCGAGGAGAAGGCTGATGCTCTGACCTGAGGTGGTCAGGCCACTTTGCCTAAGACCTCCTCCGAACTCGAACCTCGGAGGTGCCCTGCCTCATAGTGGTCCGGCCACTTTCGCCTGGGACGTCCTCGCAACTCTGGGTTCAGAAACGCCCTGAGTTTAAGTATCCAGGCAATGTCCGCTTGAGACATCCTCGCAACTCTGGGTTCCCAGATGCTCTGACCTGTGGTGTTCAGGCCACTTTCGCCTGACACATCATCGAAATGATGACCTCGGAAATGCACTGCCCCAAGGTGGTCCGTCCAGTTCCGCCTGAGATCCTCGCAGCTCCGGGTTGAGAGATTTCCTGAGCTGGTGGTCAGGCTACTTCCGTCTGAGACGTTCCCACAACTCTGCTATCTTGAGGCTTCTTTGGGATCCTCGTAGGGAGCTCTTGTGGACTCTTGGCCAGAGAGTAGAAACACAACCAGACCAGGGCCCATAAACAACATTTGAAACGCCCCATCGAACAAAATGTGAAGCACAATTTAAAAGTTATCCAGCCACCATACGTTGAAATAGGTGTCAAAGTGGGGCGTCGCCTGCTGCAGCACATCGCCATTTGTCTGTAACGACTCTCATATACTGCGTGCCTCGTATATGAACCGCCACGTATGTGCCGAATTGCCAATGATTCTGTTTAGGGTTTAACATCATACCAAGCTGGACAGATAACACCCCTGCTAGAACACAGTTTGCCAGATAATGGGTTTGAAAGATAATAGCGTTGCCACGCAATGTATTTCCATGGGCTTGCCGATATATGGCTTTGTTGTGCGCGATACCAGTTGTATGTTACAGATGTTACATACGACATGGTTTACGAATTATGTATAATTCTTGCCACATGTGTATGTCATGTGCTGCATAACGATATCATGTACTGCGTGCCCCTTATATGAACCGCCACGTATGTGCCGAGTTACATATGACCCTGTTTACATAATATTGCAACTTAAATCACATTGTGTTATATTCGACGCCATCTGAATCATGTTTGGGAAATTTGGGATCCGCTTAAGCAAAAAACGCCCCAAATATATTCCCTGACCCGCTCTGTTTATGGCCAGCCTCGTATACGACCTGCCTGGTATGCTATCACTTCTTTATATGACAGTGATCATGTAGCTGCTGGCGTAAAGGTAGCAGTGATAGAGTTCGTGGTCAGAGTGATGTCTTCCGCCGTCGGCTCAATTTTGCATCCGTGAGGCCTTACTGACGTGGCTCAGCTTTGCTGGCCTGTTCACTATCCGCTCCTTGACGTGGCTCAGCTTTGCTGGCCTGTCCACTTACCAATCACTTCTCGTTGTCATCGATGGCCGCCTCCGCCCCTCGCCAGATCCTGGTGTGTTTCAACCACGTGCTGCCCGACGTCGCGGCGCGCGGTGTGCCACTGGAGAGGCTCGGCTTCAAGCCCGGCGATTGGGGCGGCGGAATCGCTTCGGCTGTCGCCGCCGACGCGTGGGACTTGGCCTTGCCGCTGGAATACGGACACAGGGCGACCGA